ACTCGGCCACTGACATGGCAGGGGTAAAGTCACGGTCCTGAATCTCGACGGCCAAACTTTGCACCGCCGTGAGCTGAATCGGCCCGCGGTCCTAGCATCACCAGGGTTAGCCAAACTCGAAACAACGCGGTCCAAAGGGGTTGGGACACAACATACCGTCAGCACTTCCACCCGCAGCTTACCCTTCACCGCCTCAACCACCTCAGCAGCAGCCTTATCCAAAGGCACCCCCGCCTCCTCCAACGCCTCCTGCACCGCAACATTCGCATACGCCGGCCCAACCTTGGGCATATTCAACAACGCCAACTCCCCCGCAAACTTCCCCCCAATAAACACCCTCACACTGCACGGCAACTCCAACCCCTCATCCTCCCGATCAACCTTCACCAAAACCGAATACTCCTTTCCCACCCCCTGCCTCCTCCCCACCCTCCCCCTCCTCCCCTTCACCGCCGCCGTCGCCGGCCCATACAACCGATTCACCATCTCCCTCACCCTCGCACTCACCTCCTCCTTACTCCCCTTCCACTCCTCCACCCCCGCATACGTATACCCCAGCTCCCTCGTCCCCTGCACGCGCCTATTCGTCCAGTCCTTCCCCTCCCCATCCACAAACGGCCTGAGCGCACTATCAGGCGTGATATTCCTCCCGTCCGAGCCAAACGTCGGCTGCCCGCTTACACTTCCACTAAACATGGCCTGCTCGTGGTAAATCGCCTGCCACATGGCAAACTGCCGGTCCACGTTCGCGTGGTGCAGCCAAAAGATGGGGTCAAACGCCGCCCACTCGGTGGGCTTGATGTGGCCGCTCATGCCGCCGATGCGCCCGCCGCCGATGCTCTGGTGGATCATGTTGTGCGGGTTTTCGAGGCTCTTGCCGCCGGATCCCGAGGTGGACGCCATGTCGATAAAGGTGGTGGCGGTGGAGAAGGCCTTGTAGACGGCGTTGCGCACCGAGGGGTATTGGTCGCGCAGGTAGCTCTGGGAGAGGGAAAAGTTGTTTGTGCCGGGCGGGCCGAGGGTCGTGTTGATGCAGCGCATGGTGGTGGGGTAGTCGGAGAAGTCGCGGTTGAGGAAGTCGGGGTGGGTGAAGGGGAAGGTGGGGAACTCGTAGGTGTAGAGGGGGTTGTTGATGGTGGAGCGGCCCGAGGGGGTGGTGATGGTGATGGTGGGTTCCGTGGTGACGGGGGGTGCCATGGGCGTGGAGGCGTCGGCCCAGTCCCAGTAGGGGAAGCGGAGGGTTTCGGCGGCGGATTTGTATGCGGCTGAGGAGGAGGGGGGGTACTGGGCGGCGATTCGGGTGGCGTGGGTGTGGATTGTTTGCTGGAGGGGTTAGTGGGTGTTGGAAAGGGGGTTCATTGGGGGAGATGTACTTCGAGGAGGGCGAGATACGGGCGATGCCAAGTGATGAAGGTCAGTTGGCCGTGAGGACAGTATCCAGTGTTCGGGTTACCAGGGGTCTGTTGGTCTCCGCCGTATGGCTCGAAGGGGATGCCGTGGATACCTGTGATGCATGTCAGTTGCGGCTCCCTTGTTCAGGGGTAGTTGTAGGACAAGCACATACCGGCAATTTGATACCACGAGAGAGAGTCTTTCTGATCTGTTGCATACACAGCAGCCAGAGCTTGGATGAAGAGATCCCATTGAGGGCCATTCTTCATCAGATCGTTAATGTTCAGCCTGGCAGGCCTTTCGCCAGTCGTAGGGTTGACGCCGGCCTTGATACCAACAAGCCGTTGGGCACCCACCCAGGGGATGGAAGAAAGCGCGACAAGAGCGCTGAGATGTGATAACCACATCATGGTAACAATATGCTGCAGTAAGGACTGATGTGAAGTTGAAAGAGCGAGTGTCTTGTCCTTTGGTGGTATGGCCGATCAAAAGTACTGGGCCAAGTCGGTACTTATAGCTGCGTAGACCCAAAAGTCCAACTTGTCGCATTCTTTTACGAGATGCTACATTTTAGCAGGATTCGTTGCATGACGCTAGGGTACCGAGTTCACCGTCGTGCCCAGAGCCGCATGCGCCACGACTTGATGTCATGCAATAGAGTTACCGGGCTTCCCAGGGCCCAGGTTCCTGGTCGCGGTAAGATCAGACGATTCGGCCATGTGCCCACTCCCTCCTGTAAAAGGGTCCATTCTGTGCCGCCTAGAGTCCGAGGTGAGCCCTAGCAGTTCTGATACGCCCCAATGCAACCATCTCATCCTACCTGGCGGCTGGGTCCCTCCTGACTGGAAGAGATGGCGAAGAGGGTTTTAGGCCGTCGGTTTTTTCCCCGGGTAGGATCGACGAACTAACAGCGGCGCGGTCAGGGGTGAGAACCAAAGGCGGAATACGCACAGCCAAGGCAGAAACAGAGGCCTTGGCGATCGATGGGGGTCCCAAGGGGTCAATGCTTGGGCGTGGTGAAGACTGCGCCGCAAGACCCCTGAAAATGATAATCATTTTCAGGGGTCCAGACTGCAACTATCATTTCGCTGCTGTGAGAGAGGACATCTGACTTGCAATCCTGATTCAAGCCGAGCCCGGAACATCGGGCCGGAGACCGTTCCAGAAGACCACTCCGGCGCTTCCGTCTGTCTGACGGAAGCCCGCAGAGGAGGTCAGCACCGTCCCTCACTCAACAGTGACATGACAACCCTTGTTGTCAACCTTGGAACGATGGGCATTTCCATGCTCGGATATTCATCGGACTCATCAGTCTGATACGGTCTCAACTTCGGAGTCCCCCGGCGGATTGAACAAGATGGCAAGGGGGATGAACAGCTCGGCACAACCTGCCACTTGAAATTGTTCTTGACATTGGAGAGCGATCTTCCAAGCCGAGGGCGCCTGGGAATGGATGCAATTCTTTTAATCCCGGAGCAGCTTCGAGGACGATTCGAGAAGTGAATATGGTTCGCGCTATGCGCTTATCGTCGTCCACGAGCCAGCTGCCAGTGTTGAGCTTGAAGCTGTCTGAATTATTGTCGGGCTTTCCGTTTTCAAACATTGTTTGGAAATTCCAGTCGCTGGGAGTAAATTGAGTTCTCGAGACCTTGAAGGTAGTTGTGTACTTGGGGGTTCAGTCGCGTGTTGACAAGTTGCAGAGCCGAACGTTTGTTGTTGGTATCAATAGGCTGGCAATCGTTCGGTTCTGAGATGATAGATTCGCATGCCGACAATGGAAGCAGGATCTGGGTCCTGACTCAGCACCCCAGTTGAAATAACAATCTCATTCAGAGTCACGGTTGGCCGAATCCACAATAACGGTAATCCAACACAAAGAGAAACCAAGCTTGCATCCAATTGTCTCGGTTCATGCTCCTCACCGCAACTTGGAATCCACTGTTCAGCCCAAAAACCATCAGCGTTGTAGCTTCGAATCCGGTGCAACCTTTCGGACATTGTCTCCAATGACGTACCGAGGCGAAACGGTTTCAGCTACGAGGGTGCACGCCACCTGCAGCCCAGACAATATTTGGCCTGCACGCTTCGGCTACGGCCAACCAGCGTTTTGACGGATGTCCGACCGGGAGAACTCAACGGGCGGGAGCGGGGTTGGGTCGAGGTGTTGATAACAGGGACGTCGCCAGTGAGTTGTGTTTGTTTCCTGTTTGGCAAATTCGCAACTGTGCTTTGTGCAATTGAAGAAGAATGGATGTCGAATCGGCAATCAAAGTGCTCGAAGACCTGCCGGGGCAACCCGAGCAGGTCAAGGAGCTGTCGCCAGCACTCCGGCAGCGCATCCTGGCCTTGGCAAAAAACCTTCCCAGTGTGGTCCTGACCCCTGAGCAAATTGCTTTCATGCAAATCTTCGAGGTGAGTTGTTGTTGAGTTGGAGTGGTTGGGCTCCGTATTCACCCCTTTGCAGACACCGCCGCGTCAATTCGCCATTCGCATGGCTGTCGATCTGCGCATCTTCCACATCCTCGTGGAGCGTGCTGGGACTCCCATATCCTCGGCCGATCTGGCCGCGCAGTGCGGCGCCGAAGAAGTCCTTGTCGTCCGTATCATGCGCGTCGTCACGGGTGCGGGATACGCCGAGGAATCCGGGGCGAGAGAGTATGTTGCCACCCGCATGTCTCGCGCCATGGTGGTTCCCCATATCGAAGCCTTCGCTGCCCACGTCTACGAGGCATCGGCTCGATCTTGCAACCGCATGCCCGAGTACTTCAAGACGCATGGGTACAAAAACCCCACCGACGACCTCAAGGGACCGGCTCAGTATGCGTTGGGCACCGACCTGCACTTCTTCGAGTACCTCCACCAAGACCCTGTCAAGGCCGAGCGCTTCAACATCTGCATGACGGGAAGCAAAGCCGGGCTGCGATTCTGGTTTGAGTGGTTTCCCGTGACGGAGCACTTGGTGAATTCGTTCAAGGCGTCCGGTTCTGAACCTGGCACGCCATTCCTGGTCGACTTGGGCGGCGGCATTGGTCTTCATGTCCGAAAGCTGCTGGCAGCCAATCCCGAGGCGGAACCACTTGTCCTGCAGGACCTTCCGGGGACTATTACGAAGGCAAAGGATCTGGATTCCCGAATTCGACCCATGGTCCATGACTTCTTCACACCCCAGCCGATCCAGGGAGCGTATCTATATTATACGCGCCTCGTGCTGCATGACTGGCCCGATGAGAGATGCCGCACGCTTCTCAAGGCTACGGCGGCAGCTATGAAGCCCGGCTTCTCGCGCATTCTGCTCAACGAAACCATCATCCCAGAGAAGGATTGTCCTCCTCTCTTGGCGGCGGCGGACATCACCATGATGTCCTTGCTGGCGGGCATGGAGCGAACGAAGCAGCAGTGGATAGACCTGGTCGAATCTTCGGGGTTGCGAGTCGTTAAGATTTGGCATTCGCCCGACTTCAGGGATTTGGAAGGCGTCATTGAGTGTGAGGTCCCTCGGTAGTTTGGAGTAAGGTAGACGAGGAGGTGTGCCAGGCCCAATCGAAAATGTTGACTTTCAAGGTTGCTGCGATGATCTGATGAATTGATTTGCAAAAAGCAAAATAAAATGCTTGAGCCGGGATTCGCACCCGGGTTTCCGCCTCTCATCCGGGATGGAAGGGCGACGAGTTGAACTACTACTCCACTCAAGCGTTTGCCAAATACACTACACATCGAGGTGCTGCGGTGCTGTTGCTGAGGGAAGCCGTTCCAATGGTCAAGTGCTGGGCTGCGGCTGCGAAAATGTTCGACGGGGAGAGGCAGTCTCTCGGAGCGTCCCAGAAAATGTTGACCAAAAGTTGCCGGGAGGGCAGGAACGATGGGAACGTCCAAGCGGACAAATGGGCTGGAATCATCATCTTCCAGCTGGCAACCGGCAGCCATTTTCGAGAGGGTTAGGAGTTTGGAAACTCGCCCTTTCTACCTAGCCCATCATGGAACCCTTCTTCCTGTTCCCCGTCTTGCTCCTAAAGTTAAATGCCAGAAAGAAAGCGCACTGCTGAACAATCGACCTTGATTCCATTCTTTGTCAGAACGACCCGACCCCAAAATCAATGGCAGTCAACCCGCTTATCTATTGTTCGCTCCAGGCTTATCGCAGTTGCCGCTTCGTTGGGGCAACTTCACCGGAACGCAACTGCCCCCCGATTCCTTTTCGCCCACTCGAATTGGTTGACGCAACGGGACGCACCGGAGCAGACAGGGGAAGAGCTATGAGGGTGCAGCCATGCCAGGAGTTTTCGGATAATGGAGAGAGCAGTGATGAAAATCGCAGGCTCTCCCTCCACGTTTGTTTGCAAAGCTCTCGGACAGCGGGCTATCAGTCATTGCTCGCCAGCTTGCTGGCACCGTATTGACTCCGAATACTTTTTTCCGCCGCCTTTGCTAGCCGCGTTAATACCGTATTATTCCACAAAATTGGCTTTTACTCCGAGACCATGCACGCCTTGATGGGTTTATCAGAGTCATTACGCAACGCCGTAGGGTGGCCTGTGTTAGCTGCGCAGAGGCCTATTTTAGTAACGTGAAGGCATTGTCTGATACAGCCTATGGCATATTTAGCGTGCAAGGAGCGCTTAATGGCTTTGCGTAAGGCCTTTGATAAACCCAGTGATGGCGTGCAGGGTTTCCGAGTAAAAGCCAATTCTTTGGAATAATACGGTAAAGCATTAAGGGCTTGCACGGGGCAAGAGTAAACGTAGGCAAGATTCAGTTGCGAGTCAATACAAAAGGCGCCATATAAAAGCTGGATTTTTTTTTTTTTTTTGGAAAATCCTTACACCCAACAGACAACGCAAAGCCAACGGACGCAGCAATGTTGAACGGTGACGCCGACCCTTTCCAGGAGACGAGAGTGGTTCTAATCGAGTTGATTGTCCACTGCCATGACATGTGGATTCCCACAACCCCGGGCGTTACATCGGACCGGAAAACAGCGTTTTCATGTTCGACTACACCAGTTGTTGCTTTGTCTGGCAGTGCATCGAGCACGGAAGCGTGTCCATCGCAGCACTTCGCGATGACTCGGACGGCATTGTGAATTAGCTTCACATGACGGGCGAGCGAAGATGGCGGGATCACATCGAGGTCGAGGTGACGGTCCAAATCTTCAAGGACGAGCCGCCAGCTCTCAAGTATGAAGACAGGAAGAGGGAATAACGGGAGGGTGTCAATGCGATGGGAGCACTGTCGGCCGCGGGTTGGCTGGTCAGGTCTGCAGAAGGTTGCAGCAGGCGGCAGTCAGAGAGGGAAGCGGTCTACATGGGATTCAATGGTCGTCTGTGAGCCCTCGACTCCTTGGCGTGGCGCCATCGATGCAGGCAGAAGGAGGTTGCATAACTAGCGGATAGTCTTTGGTCATGAAGAAGCGAGGCTCTAGCGGGGCGATAAATCGGAAGAAATAGAAGAAGAAAACGTCAAAAGGCAAAAAAGTCGCCCACGTATGCGCTAATTCTGTGCTACCCGCATCTCAGTCCGGTGACGGTCCAGCGCCGGGCGATTTGCTAGGCGTTGCGAGGAGAGCCTCTGAGATTGGAAAAGGGGTAAGACGCCCAATCAATTGCCTGCAAGCCCTCTCAGCTCCAAGATTGGAGTAGGATCTGATGCAACATTAAGCAACCGCGGGCTGATTTTGTCTCAGGCCTGCAGGTTCGTACAGCGCGCTGCGTACAGCCCGGAGAGAACAAAAATCCAGAGCTCTTCATCCAGCGGTGCACAACAGCAAGGCATCTGCCTTCTGCGATGCCTCATAATACGCCCACACCCCCTCTTCTGGCTGCGTGCGGGACACGCTCATGCATCAACAGTGGAGCAGCAATTCAATTCGCCCAACAGACTGCCTGGGGGGATTTTTGGCTCTGAGATGCAGCATTTCATTGCCATTCCGCAGGCTGCCTGACACAAGTCTGGCACCAGATTTCCGAGACGGAGAAAAAAAAGAATTACCTCATCGCCACTGTCTTCGTTGCATTCCATCCATCTCGTCTCATGCACCACCTCTGTCCCCAACCTCCCCTACCATTCCATCCAAGTTGTCGTCGCCTTGTTGAGAGTTCAACGAACGTATCGACCTTCAATCCGCAAATAACACAAGCCCGAGAAAAGACGAAAGTGCGGTCACTGGGACGGCAGGCCGGGATGACCACATCGAGATTTTTCTGTCCGACTTGGCAAATCGGAGCAACCCCGTTTTCCTTCCCGCGACGACTCTGAACGCCGCCATTGCCGTGATGCCGAAGCCGCTCGCCGGTCCGAGTTCGCTTCGTGGTCCTCCGCAGCAGGCAGGTTCCGGGGACGCACCTTCCGCTCGCAAACCCCATCTCGAAATGGCCCCTACCATGTCCTCGCCCAACACTGGCGCTGGCGCTGCCACTGGCAACCAAATCCCACTTCCGCAGGTTCCTGTCAGCGGTGGTACGCACTATACAACCCAACCAGACCTGACGCCCCTGGCCGCATATGGCGCGACCATGGCCCCGACCCCGACCTCGGCCACACCAGCGATGCTGGCACCTCCCAATAACAACAACGGCGGGGCCAGGAGCAGGAGCGGCAACAATCAGAATCACAACAATAACAATAGCACAAAATACGACGCTGCCCCCAATGACCCCCCCGCAGACCTCGACGCCGATGCCGACGACGACATCGATGCGGAATCCATTGACGTCGACCCCACCTCGACAGCGACATCAACCTCCACTCCCACACCCTCGGCGCCCCGCGAGTACCCGCAATCCGCCTACAACTATGGCACCTGGACCGCCGAAGATGACCGCGCCCTGGTCGCCGCGCGCTCCCGCGGCCAGCACTGGGCCGACCTGCAGCGGACGTACTTTCCGACGAAAACCGCGAATGCGTGCCGCAAGCGCTACGAGCGGTTGATGGAGCGCAAGGGCGTGTACGACTATGACGCGAGGAAGTTTGAGCGCATCGCAAAGGAGTACATGGGCATGCGAAAGCAGATCTGGTCAGGGCTAGCAGCCCGGGTGGGAGAGAAGTGGCCGGTTGTGGAGGCGCAGGTATGTTTTCTCTCTCTCTCTCTTTTTCCTCGAGAGAGAAGTGCCGTTGCTAATAAAGTCCTCGACAGTGCATGTCCACTGGCCTGCGAACCATCCAATCGAACGCTCGATCGTACACGAACCGTTGGCGACGCGAAGCCAAAATCTCGCAAAAGGCACGATCGGTTGAGGCCGGAGGGATTGCTGGGCCCCATCCTGGGCCCCATCCTGGGAGCGGGTTGGGCCCGGTGACGAACATGGGTCTGATCAGCCCCGTCGAGGACGAGTTTGGCGGGAGCTTCCTGGCTGGCTCTGATGAGATGGGAACGCCCACAAGCGAGTCAATGAACCCGATGGCAGGGCGAACGCAGAATCCGGGAATGATGCCGCCGCCGCCGCCGTACATGCAAGTCGGTGGTCCCGCAGGAGCACCTGTAGCGCAGCATGACATGGGATACAACGAATATCAGAATGGGAGGCCGTCAAATATGGGTGTTGGGAGACCACAACCCCTGAGTTTGATGCCGCAGCCGAACCAACCCCCCGGTCCGGTTGGCGCTCAATGGCAGAACCCGGGACTGCAAGGGGCTTATATCGGGCACCAAGAGCGTCAGGAATGGTAGCGAAGCCACCATCGCGGTCGCCTGCAGGCTTCTGATGGGGCGAAGGAAGTGGTCTTGAGGCATTTGATGGTATTGACACATCTGGACACGCACGATCCGAATCTTTCCGCAGTATTACCTAACGAATTGATGACAAAGAAACCAAGACGAAACAAAAACGATACGACACGACATGACATAGAGTTAGAACCACAACAAGACCCCGGCCGTGGCATTCGGCAGGGCAGTTAGGCTTTCATTAGAACTATAGCGACAATCTCAACTCCGGATATTGGGTGAGGTTGAAGACTCGATGTTGTCATAGGCTCAGTGAGGTGACAGGGGGCGTCTCGGACTTCGGGGCACATCTGCAGGTGACCTCGTCTCGTCACACACAGGGCGCGCGGCGGGTCTAGGGTCACACTCCGCACCAACGATGGGCGACGGAAAGACCCGGTTCGTCGCTTGGCGTCGAGTTTTCAGCACGCAACCTATCAGAGCTTTCCGATTGCTATCCCTGGAGCTTCAGTTTGGATCCTGGTACGTCTGGGTCTTGGTGCGATGCCTTCGATCCTGAAAGCTCTTGCGTATAAAAAGCTTGACTGTACGAGTCTTTCAGAGAGCAAGAACCTCTATTCATCCTTCGGAATCTCCCTCAACCCAAGGCCTTCCAACTAATCATGGCATCTCTCGCATTCCCCAAGTGGGCTAAAAAAGCCACGCTCAGTGACGGAACCACATACGGCTACATTCACGTCCCGGCAGCGGACTCGAAGCCAACATTTCTGCTACTACACGGGGCTCCTAGCTCAAGCTACATCTGGCACCACCAGGTCGAGGCCCTTCCGAAGGCCGGCTTCGGTGTCATTGCCCCCGACCTGCTCGGATACGGCGACACAGACAAGCCGGAAGATGAAGGCCCATATCAGATGCACCGCATGGCGCCTCAGATCCACGAACTCGTGACCCAGTCGATCGGCATCGACAAGGTCATTGGCGTTGGCCACGACCTGTGAGCATCCTGTGCGACAGTCTCTCGCTTCGGCTTCC